GGGAGGGAGGAGGTGGGATGTTGAGCTGTCAGCCGGATGGGAGGAGGTGGGCGGCTAAGCTGTTAGCTGGACTGGAGGAGGTGAGCGGACAAGCTGTCCCGGCAGGAGGGAGGCTGCCTCATTATGGGTACGCCCCTGAATGCAGAGGTTCTTTTTGTTCTATATGTTAAGTGTTATTATTGACGTTAGAGCTGGCCATGGTAGATTTGTCTGGATTACAACTGATGATGCTATCTGGGGGTATCCCAAGACCCATAGGTCTGAGAGGACCCAGATCTTTAGAAATAAGCATATTTTGCCTTCAGAAGAAAACTACAGGTAAATAAGGGGCTTTGACTATATTCTAGTTCAAGTGCATATCTTGATGTCTTGGGGAGATTCTCTCTCTGCATTTTGTGACAATTGAGTGTCAGAGATTGATTGAAAATCCAAAATATTACAGTTGCCACTGGAACTTTAGGTGAGGGGAAATCTTTAAATGGGGGACTCCTGTTCTGCTGGCAACTGTTAAGAAGAGCATTTTCCTTTCTGGTGTCTACAGGCCAGGAAGTGAAGGGAAATCTCCATATGTGTCTCTTTTTTTCTCTGTCAAAAACTACCCAAAATGTTTTGGCTAAATATACACTTGAACTTGACATACTTTGTATATTATTATTTCATTTAGGGATTATGGTTGTTTTACAATGTGACAGGAAAAAGCAATTAACTTAGAGGAGGCCAAGGCCTGAATGCTGCCAACACTCATTATGGTTTTAACTTGCTGGTGCTCCTGACACCAGTAATATGCTATTAGCCAGCTATATGCAACTTTGCATACTGTATTTATTGTGCTTTTATTTTAAAACTTTAAATACACTATTTTAAATATACTTTAAACAGCTTAAAATATATATATAAAAATAAAAACGGAGACTAACAGGGTTATTCACAAAAGGGTGAAGAGTTTGGAGAAGGGAGGAGAAGTGAACAATCTAGGACAACATAGCTGGACTGGAAAGTGAGCTGAATTGGAGAATTTTTCCCAAATCAGCTATGTTGTCCTAGATTGTTCACTTCTCCTGCCTTCTCCAAACTCTTCACCCTTTTGTGAATAACCCTGTAAAATTGAGTGAATGCTTAATGAGATGATGAAATTTTGGTTCCTTGAATATTATAGATGTGCTTAATGATCTTGTTTTATAATTATGTAAAGGTACTGTGCTTGCTCTTAGGTGCGTGTTGTTTGCTCCGCTGACATTCCTTTGCAAAGCTTGTTCATGCAAAAGCTTAAGGATGCAGACGATGCAGAATCCAGAATTCTTCTAGATGATCTTGAATTAAGCCAGGTATACTTATTTGTGCATATTATGACTGCTTCTTTTTTTAAATCTTGCAAACCTCCGTTTTAGATACCTCTCAAATGGAAATCACAATTATTAAAGTAAATGCTGGAAACTAGTAATGACCATTGGCCAAAACCATTCAGAATCTTGGAAGAATAGAGAAATAGGAAAAAATTTAGAGCAAAACTTTTGTAGTATGGTTATTTGCCAATAACAGTCACTCTATTTAAAACTGCTTATTATTAAGTTATTATTGTGAGGATGATAAATCTGAATTGCAGGCAGATATAAAAGGTTGTTTTATTTTTTGTTGGGGGTGCTTCGGGGAAATATCAGGGGTATAAACAGACCCCTGACATTTCCTTTTTGAAATAGAAAAAGAAATTGAGGATACAGAGTCCTAAATTTCTTTTTCTGCAGCCTCTATTCTAAATGAATGGAAAGCACTCAGTACAGAAGTTTCCCATTCATAACTGGTGATAGTAAAACATTTACTATCATCCAGTTGTAAATAGGTAGAAGCCTCTTTACTGAGGCTTCCACCCATTGCGAAACTCATGAATGAACAGGAAGTTATGTAAATGATGTGATGTGATCAATAACAGTCATTTTATTTAAAACTGCAAGTTATTTTTGTGGGAATGATAAAGCTGAATTGCAGGCAGATATAAAAGGTTAAGTTTTATTTTTATTTTTTTGTTGGTGGGGCTTCGGGGAAATACCAGGGGTGTAAACAGACCCCTGACATTTCCTTTTTGAAATAGAAAAAGAAATTGAGGACACAGAGTACTAAAATTCTTTTTCTGCAGCCTCAACTCTCAATGAATGCAAAACACTCAGTACAGAAGCTTCCCATTCATAACTGGTAATCGTAGTACTATGTGTCCCCAGTTTTTTACAAACATTGGAGTGATCAGCTGATCACTCCAGTCTTTGTCCTGCACACAGAGGATCAGTGAATATCACAGATATTTACTGATCCTCCGTTCGGCCATCCGACCCGGTCACCCACGCAGAGATGACAGAGCCACCTGCGATCCAGGATTGGACAGCCGGCGGCTCTGATCTGCACACCGCTCCTGAAGAGGCTTAAGATTGTGGTGGCCGGCAGCGGTGGTGTCAGTGCGAAGGGGGGGTGCCCTGATGTCAGCTATTATTTTAAAGGGGACTGTCGAGGGAACTGTTCTGGTATAAGTTCATAGTGGCTAAAGTGACCATAAGGTTATAGCAGAATCACAAAAGCCACCAACGTAAGGGCTACTGACGTGGTCAGCTGGAAACAGTTGTATTCCACCGTAAGCCTGTGTCAGCGAAAGGGTTAAAAACATGGAAAAAATAGTGATAACTACATCAGTGATTGGGAAGTATTCCCTAGAGTAAGGGCAAACTAACAAAGCATACAGTGCACCTTATTACTGTTAAATAAATAAATGTCCATGCATTTAAATGTTCAAACTCTAATCTATGTTTTCATTGTGTTGAATGCAGGAAGCATCTGCAGGATTGTCAGTTTTTACAGGTGAAGAAGAAGTCTTTGCATTGCAGCGTACATTATCTCGACTTACGGAGATGCAGACTGAACAGTATTGGAGGGATGGGGACAGAAGTCAAAATTAATTACGACGACGTGTCAAGGCAATGCGATAAATGCACAGTACATCACAAATGGCATTTCTCTAGAAGTGTACATGTTTGCTAAAATTGCACAACAGCCTCAGGACCATTATTTTATGTTACTGTTTAAATGTGTTCCTATTTGCTGCGTTCTGCTAGCTCTGCTATGCTCTGGGCTGTAATTGAGCAGCTCACATATTGAAATGGTTCCATGTGTGGCATCACACAAGGCACAGAGATGGCCAGTGTTATTTTACTATTTATCATATGTGCCATTTATGTGATCATAAATCACATCAGTGTAGAAATGATTGGGGATGATTCTTAGAGACAAATGCAGAGTACCTGAGTTTAATGCAATCAGCAAAAGCTCCTCTATTTAATGTTGAAGTGTTCAGAATGAGAGGTATTCACACAGTATGTACTTTAATATACGTATATGTGTGTCACAATATTTGTTTGCTTACATTTGACACTGTATTGAGAGGTGCTATCCGTGAGAATGTAACAAATACATTCACTGCCAAAGTGAAGAAAAAACTTAGCTTTAATACATGTGGCTATGCATTACTGCAGGACAGTATACTGCAAGTATTTTTTACTATATTACAGCAGTGCTTCAGTTTGTGTTTTATGCGCACAAAAAGCCATTGGTTATTTTTTCTTGATAGAAATACGTTTTCATTCTTTGCCAGAGCTAGACTTGAACTTGAAGTTACATTAGCCAGCACTTTGTAAAATAAAAAAAACAGCTCTGGCTGCATGGTGCTGTCTCCCATAGACTCAGGCACTGACCGATGGAGCGCTGCTTCTTTTCTGGGTTAACTGATGCCCAGAGTCATTCAACCAACCTCCTGTGAATCCAGGGCTTCAAGGGCTCATCCTAAACTCACAGGTGACTGCTGCAGAGAGTGGTACCTCGTCATTAAACAACATTTATGATCTGGCCTGGAAGCAGAGGGTAAAGAGGGCCTGTGACTGGACTGAATACACATGGAAAAAAAGGTATGTATTCAAAATTTTTTAAAGGGGGGTGCTTTACGGGGAAGGGGGTACAGATGGGGGGGGAGGTGATCCCAGATTTGGGCTTCAAGTTTTAGTTGTGATTTTGGCCACTGTTCAGATAAGTACACTTCAACAGTCTTCCGCTTATTTGCAAATAAGTCAATTTTGCCTTCACCTTTGCTAAAATGTTTGTAATAGCAGAACCCTGTATATATCATGCAATTGAGTGTAATGCTTGTAAAAGCATCAGGACCACAGCAATTATAAATGAATACATTGATGCTTTATAATAGCGTGAATATTTACACCAACCTAATGTTCAGTAACATAAAAATGTGATCAGAATGTTGTTTTATTGCATCCAATGAAATGCCATGGACCACCTTCTGAAGATTTTTATTGGCTGCCTATGATTTTATGAATGTGAGTCACTCAGTTTAAACAACTATGCAGCAAGACAGAAATCCTGATATGCTTATTTGTGTTTGTTCAGTGAAAACAGTCTAGGTTTCAGTCAAATTGCTTTAGTTGCCACCTTTCCAAAATAAATCCCAGGGACATATAGAAGTACATTGTTACAGAAACAGTGTACTTAAATGAGAATCTGGCCAGGATGTGGAGATTCAACTATTTTCATATTGTTAACAAGCAGTAAATGAGCATCACAAACAAGTGCTAACTTACCCCTGTATCTGCAGGCACAGTGGGAAAGTCCATCTTTAAAATTCAAAAGAGATGCAGTAAAGTCATTAAAATGGGGACCCAACACTCTGCTCTCTCCCCTCTTACTGTGCACGTGTTCTGTATTCATATTGCATATTAGAATGCTGGCTGGTTTTAAATTCACTGCTGGCAGAAATGAGGGTGTAAAATGATCTACTGAGACAAAATGTATGTAAAATATAATTTTGTTGTGAACTTTGAGGATGAATTCCTCCATAGTGCCTGCAGCTACAGTCAGTAAGGGGTTGTTTTAAACCATTTTTACTAATTGCTAGGAATATGTGAATACATTTCTCCCAATCTTATGAGATGAGAATGAGGAACACCTTTTAATAGAAAGTATCCAGGAAAAGGACACAAGAGTAAATGCTCAAAAATGGTTGCTTTAACCTGCTTTTTTCCTATTTTTCCTTTTATAATGGTTTTTCAAAATAATAAATGCAATCATTTAGAGGTTGGATAAATGGTTTAGCGCAGTCGTTGAAAAGTGAATTCTTTATACAGGTCTGTACATCAGACCAAAAAGAGGGACAACTGAGAAGGAACTATGGACAGAGGGCTTTGGTTCCAAATGAGGGACAGTCCCTCCAAATAAGATAGTTGTGAGCTATGTGTTAATATTTTAATATTCACAGATCTACCCTAAGGCCTCATGAGCATGGGTGCAGAGAGGCTATACATGTAAAATATGGGCGCGTTTCCCCGTCTGGCAGGCCACAGGTACTGTACAGTCATTCGTGTCTATGGGCGGCTGAGCGGCGGGTATATGCCGGTACTTTCATAAACTGGATCATGCGTGCAAACTGTCTGCATCTGGGGCATACAATCGGATGCTTGTGTTAGCTTACGAAGGTACCATTGTACAGCCATTCCTCTCTATAGGTGGCTGTACACATCACCTTTGACTTCCCGGGCCGGGAAATAAGCCTGAATTTTACATGTACGGCCTTTGTGCATGAGGCCTAAGTTAGTTATTCACAATAATACCTTAATGTGTCTCTTCGTGCCCTAACTAAATAACTGGAATAAAAAATATTTTTCTGCATTTTAAATACACTACTTCAGAAAATGTTGCTACTTGGATAGACATAACACTCCATAAACTGGGAATTTTATTGTCAGTGATACCATGGTTTGAATCTAGGTACATTTCAAGATGCAAAGCACCGCTCTCCAAAACTTAGGGCCCTTTTTGTTGTGCTGCTTCCATATCTGTAGATCCTTGTGCCCATTTATTTCTATACATTATCCCTATTATTTATTTCCATTATCTGTAGGTTAAACCATCTTTACGTAATGCAATACTAGTTCCTTACTGTTACAACATTGCAAGGTCGATGGGAAAGAAATAAAAATGACTCTACCCACTCCCCTGAAATTCTGCAACCTAGGACTGGTTGCAGACCTGCTTGTGAACAGGGAGGGCACAGAAAATCTTTGTGCTTTACCCATGTACACAGAATACAAGAGCCGCCATTTGTATTGTATATGGTATCTTCACTCCTGTGCATTATTTTAAAATTTATTGTTCAAATTTGATTTTGTATTTAATTCATTGGAGGTTTTATCACACAAATCTGCTGTTGGTACCATACGTGTGTAGTGATCAATTTGTGCAGCATTTTGTTTGTACAGATTATCACACTGATTGTCACTCCTGCTCCAGCTGCTGGTTGGTGTTACTGCCAATTTTTCTCTAAAGAGCAGGTAATGGAGCCATTTGAGGACTGGATAAAATATTGATTAATGAGATACAGTGGTACTTTGGTTCATGAACTTAATTTGTTCCACGATTCTGGTTGCGAACCGAATCAAATTTCCCCATAAGGTTCATTGTAAATAAGGTTAATCAATTCTGACCCCCATGAACGTGATCGCGAACCGATTTTGGTCACGAACAGAATAAAATTTTCCCATAAGGTTTAATATAAATTAGGTTAATCCGTTCTGAACCATATATAAATTAATTACCGCTCTGCACTCTCTTTTTACCACCATGCTTGCTTTGCACTTTCTTGGGAGCCATGCTGGATTGAATAATACTGTACAGTACTGCATGAGCTAAAAAGCACACAAAAAAGCTTCACAGCAAGTGTGCACAGGTCTGTCTGCAACCGTAAGAAGATGGCCGTGGTTGTGTTCATCACCCGATTTAGAGGTCGCAAACAGAACCAAAATTTTGCCGAACTTCCTGTTCGCGATCCGAATTGTTCGCAAATAGAAGCGTTCGTGAACCGAGGTATTACTGTACTAATATTTGAGAAATGGAGGCTTTAATGTTGTTTCACTTGTAAAAACGGTTTCACACCAATGCGATATTTATTTTTGCGAATTTCATATTTTAAAAAAAAGAGAGATTTGAGTATAAGAACAAACAGAAAAACTAATGCAATTTTGTGAACTGACTCTCAGGAGTTGTATAAAGGAACCCATATGGAAAACAACCAGTAGAGT